AGTATCGCACCAAGCGTTTTTGGTAATAGATTTATATTATTAGCTTATTTAGTTTATGCGAATTAATTAGTCTGTCAGTAGTTGATTTACCTGTTTAAAATTTAGGACATGAAATAATAAAAAAAGGCGTATTACTTCAGCTTCTAGGGGGCGTTCACAAAGAAACCGTAGAGGGTATGAATCTCAGGGGGGATATTAATGTCTGTATAGTCGGAGATCCTAGTACTAGCAAGAGCCAGTTCCTTAAGTAATTATCCATATTTACCATAATTCGATTTTTTTTTATTTATACAGTCAAATTTGTAACCTTTATTATTCAAATTATTAGATATGCATGTCAGATACATCCCCGCGCTATATTTACATCCGGAAAAGCCTCATCTGCTGCTGGTTTGACCGCGGCTGTCGTCAAAGACGAAGAGTCTGGTGATTTCACCATAGAAGCGGGTGCTTTAATGCTAGCGGATAACGTAAGTAATATTCATTGATCGTATTAACTATATCACATAAATAATTATATGCATTTTCATTCACTTAGGGGATCTGCGCTATTGACGAATTTGACAAAATGGATATTTCTGATCAAGTTGCCATTCATGAAGCTATGGAACAGCAGACAATCTCTATCGCAAAAGCTGGAATTCATGCGACATTGAATGCTCGAACTTCAATTTTAGCGGCAGCAAATCCGAATGGTGGTCGATATAATAAAAGGCTATCACTTAGAGTAATGTGAAAAGTTGTTATATTTTTTTTAATGCCATTTAGGGTTAGTTCAAGCTAATTTTTATTTTATTTTATTAGCGAAATATTTCGATGTCAGCGCCAATAATGTCCCGATTTGATCTGTTTTTTGTGGTACTAGACGAATGCAGACCGGATATAGATCAGATGATAGCCGAACACATTGTTGGGATTCATAGAAGAGGTGATGACAATATTAATCCACCCTATGATACTGAAACACTTCAACGATATATTCGCTATGCAAGAACTTTCAAACCGAAGGTTCGTAGTATACAATGTACAGATATTTATCATATTTATCACGATGCCATATTTTGACATTTTTTTTTTTTGGAAAAGATTTCTCAAGATTCTAAGAGATTGTTAGTTGAGAAATATAAACAACTCCGTCAAGATGATGCTTCCGGCGCAGCACAAAATTCCTATCGTATTACGGTTAGACAATTAGAAAGCATGATACGATTGTCTGAAGCGATTGCAAGGGCTCATTGCAAGAACGAAGTAGGTTGGAATTGTAGCAATGAATTTTCAGTTTAAAAAATGGATTTATTTATTTTATATTAGGTAATTCCGGAGTTTGTGAACGAGGCAGCTAAGCTTATACAACAGTCTATAATTCATGTTTATCATGATGACATTGTATTGAGAGGTCAAGAAATGAATCAAGAGAGTCAAGAAATGAATCAAGGGAGTCAAGAAATGAATCAAGAGAGTCAAGAAATGAATCAAGAGAGTCAAGAAATGAATCAAGAGAGTCAAGAAAGGATGATTACGAATCAACCAAGTCAAGAAGTGAGGATTACGAGAGAAGAACTTATTAGGATTCAAGATGCAATTCTTGCGAAATTATTGTCCTCAGAAAATCGCAGTATGTTTAAAGCCAAAAAAAATTGATCATATGCCCGTGATTATTGAATAGAAATTAAGTTATCATTAATTTAAAATAGCGTGTCGCGAAGAAGATCTTGTACAATGGTACATAGAGCAATGCGAAGATACTTTAACAAGTGAATCAGAAGTTGAAGCCAAAGAGAAAAAATTCAAACTAGTGGTGGACCATTTACTTAAGGTATTCATTTATTACGTGAATGTAAATTTGAGTAATGCGAATTATTTAGTATTTATTCTGATAATTGTTTTTATAGGAAAAATATTTGCAGAAAGTTCCTAGAGGTAGCCGGGAAGATATCGATCTTGAGGATGATCAAGAATACGACCAAATGGATATTGAACAGGCAGAGTCGGATGAACTAACTATACATCCAAATATTGACATTGATAATTACTAAACTTTGACTATAATAAACTTGATTGCTTTGAATGTCCCAAATTGAATATTTTTTATAATTTTGTATATATTAAATTATAATTTTTAATAAACGTAGTACGTAATAAAGATTTTTGAAAACAAAATAACGATACGATAATGGTAATAAATTTGACTTTAATCATATTGACAGACTAATTAATTCGCATAAACTAAATAAGCTAATAATATAAATCTATTACCAAAAACGCTTGGTGCGATACT